TATTTTCTCCTTGATCTGTCTGATGCAGGCACCAAGACCTCCAAAACAACCAAATGTACAGGACTACCAGTTCTTCCCGCCAAGACTGTTTGAACTTCTGGATAAAGAGATATATGCCTACAGGAAGAGTATCGGATACAAGGTGGGGACGCTTAGCAATGACTTATTGTTGACACTTAGGAATTGTCTTTCTTTTTTTGAAGAGGCTCATTGAAGACTTCCATGCAGCGGCCCCTTTTTGACCCCGTTGACACGCATCCGGACAAATTTGCGAACGGATAAAAACTTGCACGGATGCGCCTTTCGTTTACACGGCACCCGTGGAACTGTGCAAGTTTTTGAACCCCAAAGTTTGTAAACAGTAAGTTGCAATCTGTAACAGAATTTGCACGGGATCCGTGTAAACGGATTCTTAATGTACCTGAAACTGAACTTGCGCAAAAATCTGATCTTAAAGTTGATGTCTTAAGTTGATTTAGTTTCCCGTGCAGGGGAAAGGACTGGGTGGAGCTGTAGGGTGGAGCTGTAGTCGCTGTTCTTTCGTTCTCATAGATGTGGCGTGCGATAGAAATTTTAGATCAATTTAAGTTTCTGGGAAACTGCCCACCTACCCCTCCCCTAAGTCATCGTTAACACTTACTTCTCACTTAGGGCAAAATGTTGGATTAGGAGAGGGGTAGGTGGGCAGTTTCCCAGAAACCTAAGTTGATCTGAAATTTTTGGGTCGCTGTCGCTTTTTGGTGTACTTAATAGTTTACAGCCAAAGGAGCTGTCTTTCAACTACGATGGAGTGTTATTTCGGTGGCTGATTTTCTGCAGCGAATTCCCCATATGACTGAAGTAAACAGCTCTTGGCCGAAAAAAAACGTCCGCCCAAAAAAGAGCAATGTTTCTTTTTCTAAAAGGAAATTTTGTCATGATCATCTGTCGAACTTAAAACTATTGTTTGGTCAGGTTCCGCGTGATCCTGAGGACCCACAAGGAGCTGAGAGGCAGAAAGAAGCTCAACGGTTAATAGACGAGGCTGAACCGCTTAACGAGGAGGAAGTGACAGAAAAAGAACAACTGTTGCAAGAGGTACATTTGGTTTGAAAATTCATTTTGTCTCTCGTGGTAAACTTTTCACGTAATAATGATCTTGTCTACAAAGCGAGAGGTCGCGGGATTTATCCCTGACCTAGACTACATCATCAGGATCTTGGAATAATATCGGAAGAAAAGAAGGTACTACCTGTGTCCTGCACACGGCTAGACTGTCAAGTGAGATGGGTCACCGCTTGGAGCTTTAGTAACGACAACGGCGGTGGCAGCGGAAACGTCACTTTAAACTGGATTCCGTTTTTTTTTGTCGAACTTTTTCGCGTTTCTTTCCAGCTCGCTTACAATGTCAGTGTATGTGAGTTTCCCTGCAGTTAATTTCTTAAGGACCATACCAATAGTTCAGAAAAGAGAGAAAACAACTTGTCGTAAAAGTAAATTTCATGTCTTAGTCGTGCGGTGACAGCGAAGAAATGTACAAAAAAGCGTGATGCACGTGTAAAGTTGTTTTCGTTATGAAACCTATTCAATTGCTTTTGATGTTCTCGTTGTGGTCGTCTTTGCTAAAGGTCCCTAATACTGGCCTCAGGCTACTGTCACTTCACAACCATCTTTTTCTTTACGTAGGGCTTTACAAACTGGTCTAAGCGAGAGTTCAACCAGTTCATCAAAGCTTGCGAGAAGTACGGTCGAGAAGACCTGGACAACATTTGCCAGGATGTGGAAGGCAAGACTCCAGAGGAAGTAAGAGCGTATGCCACAGTGTTCTGGGAGAGAAAAGACGAAATGACGGATATCGACAAAATTATGGCGCAGATTGAGCGCGGAGAAAGTAAGATTCAACGGCGAATCAGCATAAAAAAGGCGCTTGAGGCCAAGGTAGGAAACTTTTTTGTTGTTGTTTCACCTTCCAGGATCAATTGAGTCTGAGTTTGGCTCTAGCTTGTGAAATTTTGGACGAAATTGTATGGTAAAGTCCATTCTCACATAAAACCATTAATCAGCCTAGTTTGGTTCTGAATTTCCTTTATTTTCTCGCCCTAAATATCTACAAGAAAGAAGTGAAATCCTGGTTTACAGTAAAGGGGAAGTGAAACTCCGTGGGTAGTACTTTCACGTGGTGCTATTCGCTTTTTACGTGGTTATAATTTTGGTGTCCGTCGATAAAATTCTATGATGTTACCAGTTAATTGATATTTCATCGGCAGTACCGTTCGTGGTTTCATTTGTTTGTCGGTAATTTGCTCAAGTTGAAATTCTCTAATTTTTTACTTTTGCGACTTTTGGGATTTTAATGAGTACTAAATGCCCTCTGCCCACTGGAACTATTTTGAGGTAATGTTTAACATGTTTAGCGAAAGGCATTTTAAAAACTTAACAGTCTACACACATTTTTGCTCTTTGTGCTAACTGTATTTTGTTTCTTAGATTCAGTTTCAGTTGTTGTTATTTTTTTTTCATCAGATGGCCCGTTATCGCTCTCCCTTCCACCAAATGAGGATCGCCTACGGAACAAACAAAGGGAAGAACTACACAGAAGAAGAGGATCGCTTCTTGGTTAGCTCAAAAATCCTTTTACATCCCCTTTTTCAAAGTCTGTAAGGCTATACATTATTTTTTGTGTTTGTGTGATTCCTGTGCGACGGTTACCGTAGGGCCTATCTGATGTGAAAACTAAAAAAAACTCCCGCGCAGAAAATTATGATAAATCGCATCTGACTTCGAGGAGACAAGGATTTCGCTGACGCAAATCGCCATAAATTGCCGCTATAACTGATGACCTCTAAACTCGAATCAAAGCATCCCACTTAAAATCCCCTTTTGTAGCAAGTGATACGGTTGCTTAACATTCTAAAAGGGACATGTAGCAGCTCTCCTAGCTCTAAAAGCCATTTGGTTCGATGTCCTAACCGTGATATAATAGGAAATAATGATAAGCAGTGATGTGTTATTGTTTTCTGCAACCAATGTGGAAACACCGTACGAGCAGCTCCTACATTACTCTTGTAAAAGGGACTAATTTCTTTGTGATATTTCCCCGTCAGATTTGTATGCTGCACAAGCTCGGATTTGATAAGGAGAACGTGTATGATGAACTGAGGATGGCGTGCAGAAGCGCACCACAATTCCGGTTTGACTGGTTTCTAAAATCCAGGACAGCACAGGTGCGTCTCAATTGAATGTCGTAAAATCTAAACCAAAGGTACTTCTCTGGCCAATCACAATACGCACAGGCTATCGATTGAACCAATCAGAGCTGGAAACGTGAAGCGCGGGAAAACACTTGTAAGCAGATCACGATTGGGTTTGATATTCATCCTGATTGGCTGTATAATAAGCATGGGTTTACTTAGCCAATCATATCGCACAGCGATACAGGGGGCAAGCCTTTGCTAAATTTCTGTTGGCACTCTGTGAAATCCGCTTCAATGTTTAGGACTGGAGAATTTGGCAGTTGTTTTGATGCTTTTTTGTTCACAATTGCAGGAGCTTCAGCGTCGTTGTAACACACTGATCACTTTGATCGAAAGAGAAATGATGGAGCTCGAAGAGAAAGAAAAAGCCGAAAGAAAGAAGCGAGGAAAAGGTGCTGGCGGGACACCCAAGGTATGCTCTCAAAATTAAGACGGCGATATTCTTTTTATTTTTCTGAACTTGCGTATTCGTAGAAATTCAAGTCCAGAAAAAAAATCGCCAACATTTGACAATTTGAACGAAATGGAGTCAAAACAGCGCTATTTCATTTTTAAACTGACGATTTTGTTACTTCGCCGCCGTGGTTACGAACGACAACGCAAATGCCAGGACCAGTTGCTACAAATTTGACACGCAATATCTTGAGCTTAGCACCGGAAAGTTAAAGTGCGTAATGTGATGGAAACCTAAGTTGTAATCCTTTCTTTTTAGTTAAAATAAGCTTCCGCGCCGACTTTGTTTCTGCCTTACGACAATATTCGTCGCAAATCTTTGAAAGAACTAACAGGCCATTTTTCTCTTTTTTTATTTTTGTTTTTGTTTTTTTCCAGGCCCAAACACCAAGCAAAGACGAAAAGAAACGAAAAGCCGACGGGACGCCTGACGGTCGTGGCCGCAAAAAGAAGAAACAGTAGAACAGAATTCATTACAAGTTCGGTTTAAATGACACTAACTCGCAGCCTTTCCTAGTCAAGTTTTTCAATGCTATCAGTATCTTCCTTGTATTATAGAAGCACAAAAGTCGTATTTATAGCTGTTTTAAGTTCAATGTTTCTCTTTTTTTTCGCTGTTAGTATCAGCTTCTAACATTTTTAAAATTGTCACAATTTTCAACTACTATTTCGCAATGCAAATGCCCAAAGCTAATTGATTGCCACGTATAAAATGACTAAGAAAACCTGTAGATCTCAAATTTTATGGCATTAAAAGTTTTTATGATAAAATGAATAGACTGTTTGCTTACCTTTCACCGTGTGTGGAAAAGACTAAGAATGTAAACGGCTTTTATATGTCCTTTTATTACTTTGGGTTCGTAAGGAGGTTATAAAAAAGTCTGTGAAAAAGCCAAAGATGGTCGAAAACAATTTATTGACGGCTTTCAAACGACGAGGGAACGTAAGGGTGCTTTCCATTTATCATAACTGACTGGTCAGCCCATTCACATACTAACATGAATTTCACTTTTATTGAAAACTATCAAGTCAGATAAGTCAAATCCTTAATAGTGTGCATGAACGTGAACGTTTTGCAGCAAAAGCTCTTTGGAAAAAGCCTATTTCATTTTCAGACTGACTGGTCGGGCAAAGGTCTGGCCGGCCAGTTTTGACAAATGGTGAGCTCCCTAAATTTCTAAACAGCTTTAGCTGGCCACAAAGCGGAAAACATGTTCGCATCTGCGTGATGTAATAAAATGTAATAAAGAGATATTTACTTTTACATTTAATTGGTCTTTAGTGTTGAACTGTCAAAGTTGTGCAATTCAATCTTTAAACGAAGTATGTCTTTTCTATTTTGCCAGGTTTTGATTTCTCTTTTGTTCTTCTGTTTTGCTTCCTTTTGTAAGCGGGGACATCCTTAGGACTTCCGCCGGAAAGCGAACGTTCTTTTTCACTATCATCTGCGTCATGTCCGCTTGAATAAAGTGTCCCTTCAATTGACTTGTCCTTCCCTCCTTCTTTACTTGAAATGGGTACTGGTTTATTAATGTTCTCAAAAACGTCCTTGCCCTGGCCACTGCTTTTTAGATTGCCGTTTTTATCAATTGCAGCATCTAAATTAGCAAACACAAGCGAACTTGGAATGTGTTCGTTTTTGTGAAGACCTGAATCTGGAGGTGAAACGGTTTCATCCGGGTTTGACAGAAATAACGGTCCTCTCTGGGGCCCTGGTGTGGCATCGTGTTTAGTTCCTGATGGGGCCATCATGTGATGACTGAGGGTGCCACCCAACTCCTCCGAGGTATCCTGATTTTTAGTACTGTTCTTCGGTTCCTTGGAGGTACTCGTTTCCTTTAAAAGCTCATCAACGGTGACTGCGCTCCAGTAATTACACCCTTCAACCACCCCGCGTTTCATATAGCCCTTAACTGGCTCCTCAATTAAATGCACTGGAATCCGTTCTTTAGAATTCTCCCCACTACATTCATTTGGAATGCCTTTGCGTGATAAGTGAAAGTCTTTAACATCAACCACAGCATCTGGAACACTGTCCTCTTCGTCGCTAAACCCCACGTTAGTAGTTCCTTTGATATCGAAATTTTCCTTTTCCGACTCGCAGCCATCGATGTTATCTCTACGAACCGTGTTTGGGCTTGCGCCGTCTAATTCCTGTCTCACCTTGGACTGCGCATGCACTGTCTGTGACTGCGTTGCACTCTTCTCAGTGTCAGTAACAGTTACCTGTATGTCAGTTCTTGAGTCTTTGGAGCACAACTTCTGTTTCCTGCCAGCATCCTCAAAACTGAATCTCTTCGTGTCGTCCTTTGCTAGTGGACTAATGGTTGCTTTTTTATCAAGTGAACTCAAACTGTTCCGATAACACTTTAAATCAGTAGAAGATTGTGATCGACCAATGGGAGGAGGGCGACAGAGAGGGGACTGTTTGAGGGAACCAGGCCTGCGCCCACCGAGGTCAACACTTAGCAAATGCTGGAGCTGTGGGAGGAGAATAATGCAGATGTATGGAGCAAATTTTATTTCAATAACTAAATCGCTTATACACTCCCTGGGGTATAAGTTTGGCGGAAAGGGTTTACAAACGGTTGGGCAATATTTAAAGAGCTTATTCATTCTCCTTGGCCAATCCCGTCCCCAAGGGAGCGGATTACCGCGGATCGCCTGCTAGCAAAATCCCTTTCTTTGCCGTTCGTTTGTCCTCTGAGTCGCCCTTAGAGATTTTTGACAAAGCTTGCTCGCCGGCTAGGGACGGAAAGAAGGGTTCAATGACAACAAACTTTGGCGATCCGAACCAAGATGGATGGGCTGCGAATGAAAGAAATCATGACAGGAGCACTATCAGGGACAAAAAATCTTGAAAGGTGATCAAGGCTAAGAAGTGTGTAGCCTTTTCGCAGCGCCTCTCCCTTTAACTCTTTGCGCCGTAAAGTAACAGGGAAAAGAAAGGAGTTAGCGCACAGGATAACTGAAAAGGAATAAAATTAAAGCTTTCTCTGACCCCTACCTCTCTAAGTTCTCTGGAAATCTTTCTGTCTTCTCGTTCCTTCCTTTTTAAGGAAGGTGTTGTATCGCACCAAACCGAATTCAAAATGCTCACTTCCCCCAGCTGTTTTTTCAACTCCGCGTTCTCCTTAACCAGCCGAGACACTTTCTCAGCCTCATCGCTTGGAGCGTTCTTAATATTCAGCTCAACGATTTGCCTATTTAGTTGCGCATTCTCGTACAACACTTTGGCCAGTTTGCCACTCTCGGAAATCCTAGCTTCCTGTAGTTTTCTGTGGAGTTCCTTATTTTCCGCTTTCAAGACTAAAACAGGATCTGCGAGATCTGAATACAAGGAACCAAGGTCCAGCGATTGTCCATGCCAGTATGGCCCAGAGAAAGAACTTGACCTTTTCCTCCGCCGTATTTTTACACCCAATTCTTTGGCAGTGTTGCAGGTGACAGAACGCTTTCCAAGTTGCGGTCTCGGAGATGGTCGTGGAGAAGGCGAGATTGTTCTCCCTGTTCTGCCATTTTCAATCGGATTAGCGACCTTAACTGACAATTTCGAAGTCTCTTTTTCATTATATTTATCTTTTATCGTTCGTATTTCTTGCTTAAGCGTCGTAATTTCTTTTTGAAGTCTCATGACCACATTTGGGTCTTCCGCGCGCTGGGATCCAGAAGAGCTGCTACTTGTACCCCTAGTCTTGGATGGGGTGCTCCCAGTGGAAGACAGGGACTGCAGGCGATGTAAATCCTCTTCAACGTTCTTTTTGAGCTTGATTATCTGTGATACAAAGCAAAAACGTCAATTGTTACATGGGAATTACGTTTCCAGTTCCTCTACCGGAGTCTGAGGTCGAATAATCAAGTCAAAGTGAACATTTCTGTGAAATATCCATCTTCAACCTTTCTTGAGGGTCCTAAGGGAGAAAAAATGGTAATTGATTGTTTTTGCACCCGAAAAATGGGATTCGAGCAACTGGGACTGGGTTCTTATTACATTCGTCTGCCGCTGTCGTACGCTCCTGCCAATGTGAGTAGGATTTGCGGGAAAATGAGTGAGATATTGGGAACTACATAGGGGCTCCTCCTTCCGCCAAACACACTCAGACCTCTTTCCGAATCCTCTCGAAATAGAGAGGTCCCTCCGTCTTTGAAGAGGATTCTAACCCCCTCTACTATAAAGGGCGAAGGAAAATTGGCCTGCATTTCTAAAATACAGCTGTAAATGCCAAAGATCTAAGCTCACTTCGTAAGGGGTTGAAGGTGGGCTTATAAACGTAGAGGCCTATATCCGATCAGAAGGGGGGGGGTATAAAGAAGCTATAGCAAGGCTGATCAAAGTTCGTTTTGCATGTAAGGATTTTAATTAAGTTTCCAAATGTCATAATAAATTGAGTTCATTAAAATACAAACTAGAGTGGGGCCTATAACCCGGTGAGGTTTTTGTTTACAGGTAGATAGGCCTACAACTAGGGGGCGGGGGGCTTATAAAAGGCTATTGTAAATATAAGATGAGCGATTATGAGGAAGGTCTGAGCTCGCACTGACCTTGGGTATAAAGAGAAGACATAACGTAACCGTCGAGGCAAGCAGCAGGATGAATGATATACAAGCAACAAGAGCGTTTACGTGATCATTAATCAAGAAGGACAGCGGTATTCCGACTATGACACAGAGTGCTGTAGTACACACGCTCATAGACACGAAACGCGAGTCATTGAGCGAGTGGACTTTGGCCCTGCGTGTGACCCACGCGATGAAACAGCAAACCAGTAACAGGAGTAGTTTGTATCCAAGTAGAATGTATAACCACGTGGTTAAATATTTGGAAGTGCAATACTGATGCTGTGGAATAATCCTTTGATTAGCGTCTTCTCTCACCTACAGAAAGACAAACCAAAAGAGTGATATCCATATTCACTGAAACGAAAAACGAAGGGCATTATAGAGATAGATTTAGCCGCTATTTAGGTGGCAGGGGTGGGGGTGCTAGATTACGCCAATACTGGCCAAGTTTGGCGAAATTGAATAAATGCAGATTACCTGTTCCAGATGTCCAGATTGTGAAGTTGGCGCAAAGATGTGAGCAGCAAAAACAGCGAGGGGGCTGACGTAGGAACAGGCTAAAATATAGAAAGATTGCATGCGATGCTAACCTGTGACTCTAGATTAATTGTAATAATCTCAGGAGTGTCCACACCAACCCACAGCGACATCACCAATATATCAAGTAGCACCAGGATCAACATCAAGCCTGTTAGCTCCCAATTTGAGAAGATCTAAGGAACCGGAGGTTGAGATAGAAAAAGATATGAGAAGAGTTGCAGACTAGTAAATAAACAAGGTAAACAGCATTGTGCAATGCTCTGAAAACTACTCAGACTGAAACGATTTGAATTTTAGGGGTAGGGATAGCTTTTAGATTATTTTAGCCGAATTTTTACCTCGTTTATCTGCCAGTCTGCAAGTTTGTAGTTTGCATTTGCCGCACACAGTTATGATAACAGTTTGGGGAAATCAATAATAAGTGACTGACGAATTGAATTTGGCCACTGCACACTTTCGTTTTACTTAGCATCTGTAACGTAGAAAGAGTAATTTGATTATTACTTTTCTCCTACTTCTTAAACCAGAGTGCTTCAATTATCATTTCTCAGTCTGCCATAATTCTCTACCATAAATTACCCCTTATCTATATATATTTATATGAGGTTTTAAGAGGGCTAATAAACGGAGAAGCTTATATAACAGGAAAAGAAAAAGCGCTTCAAAACAAGCTTTAGCGGTGTTGTCCAAAGTATGTTTTACATTTACTGGTTTTTAAATCAACTTCAAAACGTCTTAATAAATCGAATTCATTTCCATATATTTGCAGAGGGGCTTTATCCGGGGGAACTTATAGTCGAATGTATTTTCTTTGTTGTTTGACAGGTCGATGGTCTTATAACTGGGGGGGGGGAAGGAGCTTATGAGCAAAAGTTGACGGTATTCCATTGAATGGCGATTCGAACTGTTTATATATCAATATACCCTGTGAGGAACAATGAAGCTCTAGAAGAGTACACTTATAACCTTTTTTATAAAGGGCGACTTCCTCGCTGAAGATTAGAGATTGGGGGACTTAAATTAGGAGAACATTATAGCATGTACCTTTCGTCTGGGTTTAATGTTGCTGAAGATCTGGTACACTCTCCATGTTTTTGAAAACATCCCACCAACAGCCAGACTGTATCCAATGGACAGGAGATAGCCTCGAACCTTAAAACAAAACAACACACTTTGTTGGAACATTGTTAAGATTTTTAATCCTTTTTTAACAAGCAAAGTATTCATTTATACATAAAGCGTTTTCCGCTTACAACAAGTGTTAATACCACTCTTTTTGGCTGTAATGCTTGTTAAATTTTAAAGTGAACCTTTCATGAAGCGTAACTGGCAATTTTGTTGGCGAGCGCACGCGTAAACGAGCGCCGAGGCTGCGAAACAATTCAAAACCGGTAGTCTCATTGCCTCTCCCCGGCCCCGGAGCCACCAGCTACGCAGACTAGAATGCAGGCTACCAGTAGTGACACTGTGCGGAGCAACTGCATTGCCAGAGACTAATGCACACTCCCCCCCCTCTACCCCAAAGGACAGGCGTGACTTAGCCTGCATAAGGAAAGCAGAGGGTTTCCAGTAGGTTTTCGGTATCCGGGATTTGCGTCGTTTGGGGGTTGGGATTTGGAATTTTAAAGCAAAACGCGGACGAGATTCGGGATTGAAAGTATGCGCGGGATGCGGGATGCCGAAAATAACCGGCGGGATTACGGTATTGAGCAGAAATTTTCATCGGGATTACGGGATTGAGCGAAAATTTGGGTCGGGATAACGGGATTTAACAACCGACAGGGACCTTCAAAGCAAGTGGGGCTATCAACTGTATGTTCAGTAACAGAAACAAAGAGGTAACCTTACAATGCATAATCCCAGAAGGTCATCTGTATCAGCTCTCATCCCGTCTATGGCGATCATGTACACAGATACATAGATAAACAAACAACCCAGGACTACCAGATTGTTTACGTTTGGACTTGATGACTTAATATAGCTGAAAAAACAAACACAAAACAGTTAAATAATACCATGAAATGTAAAATGAACGGTGGAATTGTCCCATTAAGATATGTAATCAAAAAAGAAGAAGAGGCTGCAGTTCTTTATATTTCAAAAAAAAAAGGTCGATATTTGCTTATGTAACCATGGGGAACTGTTTCTGCGCCGGTGAGATTTTTGGCGGCGAGGCTGCAGTTCTCGCCGTTTCGCCGCGACATCAGAAGTGATCTGCACGGCTTCACAGCTCCTTTGCCAACACTTTGCTCGTGCCTCTCGCAGGCTACGCAGGCTTTTGACACACCAGTATACTTAACGGCCCTTTAAAATCCAAAAACACTTTACGAAGAAACTGATTTTCACTCAAATACATCTTGTCAAGAAACTTAACTTTGGGTAAGGGCTAGCAAAAACAGAAAAACAACAATGCCAGCATACACACCTGTAATTTCGCTTTTCGATGTTGAACCACAGAAAAGATAATCCAAGCAAGATGCCTGCACTGGTAAAAGTGATAATCACACAAAACAGAGGAGTTGAAATGTACTGCACCTCATGTATGGTGACTTTACCATCTAAAGGAGGGTCGTTACCTTCGCAAAACAAAACAAAAAGCAAATTGAATATAAGAACTGAACGAACTCGCCAAATTCTTCAAATTACTGTTGTCTAGGAAAAGCGAGGCTGATTTATAGTTTCTGCATGAAATCAAATTGCTGTCTATACTGAGAAAAAGGAAGATTTGAATTTGGAATTCGCATATGGTTAATTATTTTGGCCTTGACTAGGTGAAGGTCAGATGAGGATAAGAACTGAACAAATATAATGTTTATAATAATTATGTTAACCTGACACAGATAACGAAAGTGGATAAAATTTTATTATATACAGCAATAAAAATTAAACATAAAATACCTTGCCACACTACTTTAGTACCAGAAAAGACAGTCTTGTTTGTCTTGGGATAAAACATGGCTACTACTGTGGAAACGCCGCCTGGAAAGAACGAACCCAAGATCAACAAAGCGAACATGAAAAACAGTGAAAGCCCTGGTGGAGGTATTATGTACTCCGAGATTTCCGTATAATATTTGTTTCTCTCTGCCACAAAAAAATAAGAATCAAAATCACCAGAAATCATAAACCATCGTCTTCCTATTGAGCCATAGTAAAAAACTTGTAAAAAATTAAAACCCCCCGTTAGCTGGCCGGAACTGGGACAAATGCCTATATCGCCTTTACCTAGTAACTACATCGCCAAAGCAGTAAAAAACCCCGTAGTTCATACAGGGTATAATTCCTCTAGTCCATTATGAAAGTGATTGTCTTTATAGTGTCTTACAAACTTACCCTGTAGTTGTTTGATGCAAGTAGGACGTGTTCTTTCACCTGTATTCGTAAATTTGACATTTCCCTAAAAAGAGGAAACAGTGATTTTATTTTCATTGAAGATAATAGTATTGAATTTGTGACGTGAACGTTCATATTCGGCCGTTTGCAATAGTGTAAAATGTCAGCCGTCCCTTCGCCGTCCCTTTCAGCCTCACCTGGAGATTTGATAACCTCAGGTCCTGTTTAGTCTATGAAGTATCAGTCTATTCGATTGATTGGTCATTTATGCTAAAATGTCCACCATGGTATTGGTATCAGTATTTTAGTTCAATCTATAGAAATGTACACACCTACCGTTACTCCACGGAACTCCAATTTCCTTAGCGTATTTTTAAGGATTTCCGCCATCGCACTATCTTTGTAGTTAAAGTTCTCTAAAGATCTGTTCAGTTTAGTGTAGATTTCGTGCAATGAATTGTTCAGCGTCAAAGCAATTAACCACACGGAGTCGAATGCAAACGGTACGTAAAGGTCCGTCCCGTTTTTATTTGCCGCTCCATAGGTCTGAAGAAACTGTTCAGAGGTCTAGACAAAATATAAAGCAGAAATTTGACATCTGGCAACACCATTAAGATATGCCACTAATAGTGATAATCTTTTTGCGTCGGGGCGCTTTTTTTCTGCCTAACATGCTGATTTTTACTTAAGTTTAGGGAGCATGCCTTATCGGGTGGCGCAATGGTGAGAGCAGTCGCCTCCCACCAATGTGGCCAGGTTCATGTCCTCAGCTGTCTATCTGCCCGTCTGTCTATCTGTTTGTCTGTCTACCTTCCTATCTGTTTGTTTGTCTGTCTGTCTGTCTGTCTGTCTGTCTGTCTGTCTGTCTACATATCTGTTTAGTTACCTATCTATATTTTTTTAAACTTGACTCTACTTGTGCAATAGACGTTCATAAATTGACATGTTGACTTACAATTTTTGCTACGGTTGCTTCCTTATTTGACACAATTCTGGCGCTCTCAATAGAGAAGTATCCCTCAACTGCTTTTGTCATTTGCTCCACCGTGCACCTGACATCATTATCTTTGACCTGCCACCACCGTTTATTGTCGTACCAGTCTAGTAAAAGCCACACGTAGTTCTTTCCATATATGTCTTGTTTGAACGCCTATGATCACAAAATAACTAAATCGTTGAGTTGCCATTTTATCAATTCAGTTTACAAGGTAAACTGCACACCGTTCAATGATTGAACAGGAGACTCAGTTTAAACGTTTAAGTAATGAGTATGTGAAAATGGTTTAATTTCATGCCAACTCATTGGGGGCGATTACACTTAAAAAGAGATGTATATATTATAAGATATTTTCTGAATAAAATTTGAAAGGACCTGAGAAAGCAACTTTTCTCTCAGGAAAATATGGCTTCAAATAATCCATTAACTTTGAGTTCTATATAGCCTGTTCCAGACTCCGAGATAGTAGGGTCACTCTCATATATTCGCGTGCGTTTCATTTACGCGTCACCCCTATAATCTGAAAGCCTGGAACAAGCTAAGTTCTAAATGTCAGTTTTAAAATCATTATGAAAAATCTGTCACCTTTACTGAGTCATAGTAACAGGTTAGAACGAAGTAATTCACAGCTGGGATACTCAAATACAAAAGAACAAAAATTATTTACCTCACAGAGGACTTTTCTCGCATTTTCCTCATCAAACATTCCTACGATGATGCGGGCATCACTTGTCTGCTCAAGAGAAAAAGGTTATTTTTGATAGCTTTATGATCACAAATGCTTCAAACATTGAGATAATAATGACTCAAGATTCGCTTATCCCGCCCCATGTAAGTGAATCCAAGACAGTCTTGGATTCAGGATTCCTTACCAGTGGAACTTGGATTCCAATCGTTAGCGGAATTCTGGTTTCCTTGAGCTAACTTATGGGTTCTCCAACCTAGGACTCCGGATTCCTCAAGCAAAACTTTCCCGGATTTCGGATTCCACAAGAAAAAATTTCACGGATTACAGTAAAATTTGGAACGAAGCTTTTAAAATTTGCACTGGTCTTTGTTCAGACTTACCTTTAGAGATTCAATACTAGACTTTGGATCATCACTGAATATCTCTGCAGCTATCAGATCAAAGCCATCGTTTAAAAGATTTTCTTGGAACATATGCATAACCTGCCAAAATACATGCAGTCTCTTGTAAGCTAAAGAGAATTTTTATATGTAACAAAACTTTCACAAAAATGTATGACGTAGTTTATACTTCTTTCTAAGCGTCTTGGTCGAACGCGCGAAAGATGGCTCTCCTGTAAAGAGCTCAAGCAAAACGTCAGGCACTTGACTGGGCAAAAAATGTTTTACCTCGTTAAAAACGTATTCATTTTGTCGTATGGTGGCGATTCTTTTCCAGCGAAAGTATCTCAGGAAAGCCAATCTGGCAGCGTTCTCGGCAGAGTAAGGTGGAACAGTGCTGTACAGCAATGGAAACTTGTCTTTGTTAGACAGATCAGAGGCCATGGGAGAGTAAGAAACCTGATGGAAACAAAAAAAACATTCGAAACTGAGATTTGAGATCGTGATAATGTCGGTTCAGAAGAAGCTTTCGGATAGTATAGGACGTTTCCAAAGCATTTAACTAGCATAGTGTTCTCTAAGATATTCGCCGTGAGTTGAGAGGGAAATTGAAGCCAACCTACAAAAAGTTCTCTTTTTTCTTTCCTCTAATAGAGTCTTACTTTTTGTCACAACTTGTCGAGAAGAACCTAAATCTTACATACGCGAATGATTGTTAGCTAATCAAAGGAGCGAAGATGTTTTTCACACGTAAAAAAATGATACTGATATCCAATCAGAGTGGCGAACAATGTTTTTCACATGCGGGAAATTCAAATGATAGTCCAATCAAAAGCCACAGCGGTTCGTGAGTTTCGCGCCAAGTTTCCCGCCTTTTTTCAAAGTGCTTGCAGTGCCCTCGCTTCGCTAGTAGCGGAGTTGCATTAATTGTTTACAGTCATTTAACAAAGAAATTTGTTGAGTTCATAAAGAAGAGTTTTTCGCGTAGAAAAGCGAACAACAGTCCGGAAATTGGAATAGAATAACTTCGTATGTTTCATTGTCACTGAAAAAAAATTATAGAGAGCTTGCAAAATAACAAAAGGAAGAAAAATATCAAGTACGTTTGAGTTGTTCCTTTAATATGAGCTATTCTGACTTCAACAGGCCAGTTGCACGATGACGTCATCTTACCACTATGACCAGAATCCTTTTCATTTTTCCTTTCACGTTTAATTTTGGTAATCAAAAACAAAAGCGTTTATTGCACAAGAAGACATAACCAGAAGGATTCTGGCCGTAGTATGATGCTATCATGCAATTGACCTATATATTCAAAACGGTCTTTTTGGATTTATGAATTATGATACGTTAACAGGTAAATACGACCGAGCTTGTGCACTTTCCATGAAGTGTTCAACAGTATATGACAATCTGCCTCCTAATATTATGTTTACCTGGAGTAGATTCCAGTTCCTCCCGCTCTGCGCAGTCGCACGAGTCACAGATTGACAAGCAGCGCCCAACACTGCTATCATGGGATTTCTGAAGTACAGGGAGTTATACAACACATCGGTTGCGTGCCCTGGATCACACTGAAGCAAACGAAATAGTACTTATTTACCACATACTTTGACCCAAATCCCGTGACTAACAACAATTTCAGTTCTCCTAACAATATCAGCACATGATACATGATCAAGAAAAGAAAAGGTTATGAGCACTGATAAAATGAAAAACCAAAGGAGAAATGCATGCTTTAAACTTGTATAAAATTCTCTTCAGTGATCCTTTGGGGAAACATGTGGGGATCCGTCTGAAGAATTTGTTTGGTGGATATTGGGTCTAAAGATTAAGGGGGAAAGCGGTTATACTTAAAATATGTGTGCCTAACAGGTGTCCTTCTAAGAGCAACACAGCCAGGAGATTAAACGACAACATCAAGATGTAAAAATTGTGTTTTAGCCGCCTTGCCCTTCAAGGGTGGGTTTTCAATAAATTGATTGGTGGGAAAATGATCACTTGTGATCTGGGCCTTGAACGTGATGCTTCATTATCTCTCTATTGATATCAGTGCAATAACTAGTGACAAGTGAGCGATGTATATTATCACGTGTCAGGAGCACATGACGTCATGGGCTCTTGCAGGTGATCAAATAGAAACAGCTTGATTGGCTAATATCGCAAAGGTCGAACGAAAAAGAGCTCTTAGCAAGTAAAAAAACACCGGTACAATGTGAAGTTACTGAATAATATCTCTTTGTGACAGTAGAATACTTCAAGTGCTTTTTTAATGAATGAAGTCCTAAGACTAAGCTCTTACGGACTTTTATTCTGTACGTTGCGTTTTTACATAGCGCGGTTCCTTTAGAGTGGTACTGAAAAATGTAGCCACTAATGGGTTAGAAAATTAACTACCGCATCAAAGGAGGGCAATTATTCGAGGGCGGCGATTAATAGAAGGGCGGCTATTATTCGACAGATATTCCTTCTGAGGAGAAATGATGCTGATGCATGAAACAAACCCAACAATAATTATTAAAGTATTGTGGCCGCGGGTCCGATCCTAATGAATATTGCTATGTAATAGATAGAGACGTTTCCTCAGTTTTCGGTTATTCTAGTTCGAAACTTCTAGCAGGACGGAATTAACAAATAATTCATGGCACAGTGACCCAGAAGCTCAGTTATTAGTACTTAATTTTAAAACGTGGATTTTGATACAAAAAGCTTAGAGAATGGGCAAATAAATGTGATCTAATCGCCTGCCGTAGTTCCGCATACAAACAGTATAGTCACGTTCATATTATTTATACGAATATGAATTACCAAAAATAAAGTTACAGCCTATTCGCGTGAGCGTGGGATGTTTTCATATGAGTACACCGTAATTTTCAACCATAGCCTTTTCCCAGCTTTGGTTAGTCTGGCAGCAAAAAAATACTATTCTCCACGTCCCACTGTAAACAATGTTATGAATAAAAATAGCAACTTTTGACAGCTTTTGTTGTTAACAATACAAACTATAGGAAAAATGTTTGGTCTTAATAAGTCGTAGGAGGTTTTCTGATGATTCTTAAGTCAATCTGTCCAAGGTTTTCTTCTCATAATTACTTTTTTTTGTTAGTCCGCGTCTTAGGAATAACTAAACTCATTTCCAGAAAAAGCTGAATTCCCAAATGATACGTGCTTATTTTTCATGCTTCCATGTAAGCTTTTATCTGTTAAAAGACATCGCTAAACATCGCCGAGCCCAGCACTAAACCATTTACTGAAATCGTGGTATGCAATCAAGACTATTAAATAAAGTTTTAAGAACACGAAAAACCAAAGAGACGTTTCGGAAGTATTAAACCACAGGCACTAAAGTCATCTGCGGCGAACTGAATTAAGTGTCACCGAGGTCAAGGAATAGCAATCGAAGCACTCAAAGGAATTTTAAATGGCACGAAATGGGACTAACATTTGTTTGTTAAAGCGACTTATGAATCGTAGTAAGAATCTGTAAGACTAAACTGTTTGAAAGTTGCTTTCCAAAAAATAAAGAAACAGTACCAAGTGATTTTCAATGGAGGTCTCCTGAACTAAGCTACATGCTAAAAAAAATCAGCCTAGTTTTAAGAGTGAAATACTATTTTCTGCTAGTGTCTCTGGCGTTCACTTACAAGAAAAATAAGAGATTACTCTCATTTAATTGCTTTGTTATAAGGAGCAAGAAAATTGTCCTGTGAACAATAGCGTCTTTAGAAGCACGATTAAGTTTGTAGAATGCAGATAATTATAAATACCTTTGTGTCATTCCAGAACAGTTGAAGTTGATACCCCGGTAAAATATCTGATCGATTGTTGACCATGTTTATGGCTTCCTCACTGATTTCCAGGAGCGATTTTCCATCCCAAGCAGTTGAAGAACCGGTAATTGGAAATAAACCACCGATATATAACGTCTTTTTATCATTAGCAGAAACCAGAGATGATTTGGTGGCGAAACAGGAAAGAAGAAGGAAGACAGCACCGGCAGAAGGCCAATAGAATTGCTTCATCTTTCACCTTCCTAAGAAGTTGGGTGCTCTGTTTTCAGTCGACATTGAAGTTTATAAGTTTCTCAGCAAGACCCCTTCAGGGAAACAAATCTCTAAGATGGCAACAAAAACATTGAAGGCGTCCTATGTGCGCTAAAAGCTCCATATTGACGTAGTAAATGCATGGGCAATCATCCTTTCAAGAAGCACTTAAAATAGTTTGTGTGTTGTCTTTAGTTAGCAGTGGGTCCGCAGGAGATTTACATATTTTGAACAATCGTCATAATCTGTTCTTACAATTACCCTAATCTGTTCGTGATGAGTAAATTAACTTCTGCTGGAGGGATGATACAGACTTCTAGAAGAATTAGTTCGGATTGACTTGAGATCAATTTAGGCAATTGACGAATTATTAGCAACAAAAAAACGTGCGCATTTTCAGGGCATGAGCGCCAACTATCAATTACTGCGACAGATTAATTTTGTTTGCCTTCAAACGTCAGGTTAATTCTATCTTAATTAACATCACCAAATTATTTTCAAACTTAAAGGAAAAAGCGGGAAATTAGATAAAACCGTATCCCTGAACTAATAAACTCTCCACTATAATTCCACGTCAGCCTTCCTTAAGCCGAGATCATCAAAAGCCGCAATAAGAAGCCTTCATTTTTTATCATTCAAGACGTGATAACCAACGCGATTATCTAACAAAAACAGTTTTATTTGTTTGTATAGTTTCATTTCCATCTGTTGTAAGAAATCTGATTAAATTTGATACTTTTTTAAAAAAAAATTCACAAAATCGAAACTGAACAAGGCAACCTGTGTTGCCTTGGGTAGTACACAACTGCATTGGGTCACGCGTTAAGGGGATGACTGTATAGCGTTGAAGTGCTTTAAATAGATGTAAATATGGTTAACTGATCAAGATTTTTGTTTACCAGTAAACTTTGTGGAGGTTTCTTAAAACAAAGTGTTTTGCTGAAAAAGTAATTTTTACGAGCAACCGAGCGGGGCTTGAGCAAAGACATTTTTGAGCAACGTTCGTCATCCGGAAGTAGACTTTTTGCATTCGTGCAGTGGGCAGTGATTTTGCTCAAATGTTCGGGAGATCGTCTCCTAAGAGTAAAGACATTTAACAATACAAAATTGGTTGCGTTAAGGAATACTAGTATCATATTAAAAGGAAAATGGCCTCACTAGCTTCCAGTTGACGTACGTCGCTCAGCTCCCTGTTAGAGTTTTACACCGTAGCAAACATCAGTGACCATGCTCGGCGCTAGTCTCCTATAATGTATATTGTCCATAATGCGAAAAAAGGTTAGCCTCTTCTAGGCTTCCAGATTGTAAGGACCGCGCAAAAAGATGTGAGCAGGAAAAACAGCAAAACCTGGAACAGGCTAAAGAGAGGTCGAGTGGACAAGTTGTTTGACATATCACAACTGATCTGGGCTTTTAGGTTCAAAACAAATACGCGATTCATTAGGGCACTGAATCATTAAACGTAATTCTTCAGCTTTTCTTTTCGTAAATTTCTCTAATTCTCCGAACAAAGCATTGATAGCAAAGAGGAATAGCGTTACTAAATACTTTTTGTCCGAACCTCTATGTAAAACAGAAACACTCAGTTTCCAGGAGAAAACCGTAAGAGCTCAGTTTTGAGTGTCATCAGCGATCTACCGGCGATCGGAATGATTGTCAAAACATGCGAGTTTTAGATTTCCTGTTTTTCTTTTTCAAGTTAAATTGCTAAAACTCCGAAAGTCTATTTAGATTGAGAGCTCATCAGTATGAGTTATTTTCTGTCAGCACTTAAATCTCTGTGAGCCAGCGTGTGGAAGTTCTTAGGTCAGCGGACGAAACTTAAACGCAAAAATGACTGCTAAAGATGTCAAAATCAAGCCAAAATATTCTTCAAGACAGATATCGCTGCATAATATTAATCGAACTTCAGTTTCCCGAAGTTTATTTTTAAAAGCGTTGTTTTATTGAAACGAAAACGCTGACGTCTTGAATAATGAACCAAACCGAAGTTAGCCGTAAACATGTTTGAAATTTATATTTCGGTAACTGCTACGTATATGTGATTTCTACAAGTAGACCTTTTCCATAATGAAAGGCGATATAAAAGTTTTACGGCCCTTTCCCTTATTTATAATCACTGGCAAAATTAAAGGGACTGGCTAGAAATTCAACAGTAAAAACATAACTACGAGCCAATGGATTCAATACCCGCATCTCTTAAAAGTCTTAAATAAAGAAACTGATAACAGCCAACTGACCCTTACAGCGAAGAAAAGGTCAGACAAAGTAAAATCTAACTGAAATGTCTTATTTTTTAAACACAAAAACATAACATTTTTATTTTGTTTTGTTTTGATCCGTTCAGTTTCCCGTTTGGTTCTTTCTCATAAGGATCACTTTGTTGCTAATTGATGTTCCTCATATGTAAAATTAGAGTCCAATGTCACACATAGCTTGTGCTTGCATCTGACGGTTTGTCTCTCATGGTAACATTGCCTTTGTCTTGTAACGAAACAAGGATCTTTAAAAGTATATCTTCCATGCGAGTTAGTTTGGATTCCAGTTGTTCCAAATTTTGCTTGTCTGGCGTGAACAATTCTTCTTGATCAGTGTACTGGTCACCAAAACTGTCGCTTCTATGTGCACGAGGAGTGTTACCTGAAATAAAACTACCCATCCCTCGTCTTTGCGGAGCTTTCCATTCATTGTCATTTTGGACAGCCATGGTAATCATTTCAACATGGTCTTGATCTTGGTCTTTCTCGATGGAATTTTTATTTCCCTTGAGATAGAGATGACATCTTAAAATGTAACAAATTCCACTCTGGTGGATGTTACCATAAACGCGGGACGGGGAAAGAAGGCGGAAACATAAAGTGAAAAAAGGGAAGAGAACAGAGAATTTGATAAAGTTACTGATAGGGCTTGAGTTTGAGGTTTTGCTCCCATTTTTCTTTTTCTGTTTTCCCGTGATTGTTCCCCGTTCCTTGTTTTAGTAACATCCAAAATATTAAAAAACAGCAAGTCCGTAGTGACAAACCGTTGAGTAGTGCCGGATCTCCCAATTGTAGACCTCGGGATCAATGCAATAACAACTTGTATAAAATATAAAATTGCAAACTGATCCCTACGGCAAGGTGCTGAACAAGTAAACAAAGGAGTAAAACCAAAAAATATTTAAACAACTTTGCCCATTATTTCGGTTTGAAGACAAACCTTCTTCAGGGGCTAAAAGAAAAATGAAACACGTTACTAAAAATTGTTTTGAATTAGTAACATCCACTTTGGAGAAAGGTACGATCTAATACAACCACTAATCTCCCCACCTTAGTCGCCAAAAAGGCGATAAGAAAGCAGTGCCAACAAAAAGCTAACAGAAAGACAGGACTATCTTTGCCGATCATGGTTCCTGGCTATACCTTCAGGTTTCACAAACACTTTCTAAATCAGATAATCACAACCCCGCACAGGAACGAGTTGTATACTTGGGTAATCGTGTGCAATTGGCTTGATGCTACCATTGACAACTCGATGGAAAAAAATTTCATTTTTGCACATACCATTTTAGTAGAGCTCAGGTTACACGACAGCTCCATTTCTCCCAAAATACGCTCTTTAATCTCAGGGTACGCTTTCATAACTTCCGTAAGGTCCCGCCAGGAGATGAGATGAACCTGGCAACTAATCTTAGCGACCAGGCTTACACAAGCCTTAGAATAGCAACCACGTGGCAACATGCTGCATCCAAGCACGTCCCCAGCTCCTAAAAAAAGTCAAATTATCAGAGATTGCCCCGGCTTTGGTCTGTTTAAATTTCCTCGAATAAGCACCTACCTCAAGGCCATAATAGAGATCTTTAGATTCTACGACGATTACTACAACGAGTACGAGATTTTTTCAGTCGTAAGTGGTGCTCGCGCGTGAACCAGCGTCATTTTGGCGGGAAAACGTGATAGCCGTCGTCATTCTATGACGAGTTTTAGAGAAAATCTCGTAGTGCCGGGAAACAAGTTATCAAAGTTGACAGTTTTATTGTTTTACAATCGGAAGAGAGCTTAACCTCCTCCAATAAAGATAAGTGCTAACGTTTCAGGTGAAAAAAAGTAAAATGATGCATTCCTGGGTGTCTATTTTTTTACAAAACGCAAAAAAACTTAAATCAAATCTCGTACTCATAGTCGTTTTCGTTCCCAAATCTAAAGGTCTCTAATATCAAATAAGGACCTCCTCACCGTAACCTCACTTTTTTAGATGATGGGGGAACAAGAGGAAACAGTTTTCAAAGTGCATGGACTATGGCATGCTTGATTATCAAGCGCTGTTTAAACAAACGAAAGACATTAATATTGATTTTGCGTTTGCATGGATGATTTCCTAGTTTTTGGTTTTTAAAGGAGGATGTGATAAGCGTCCCCCTTGATTAAGCGCCTTCCTTCCAACAAGCGCCCATCCTTTTAGCGGAAATTTAAAATAAGCGATCGGACACTCATTCGAGGAAATACGTTATTTGATTCCATTATCGCGTAATTCATGATGTTGAAATTGAGCGAGCTTTAATTCAGTTTTGTCTGGCCTACCATAGAATCTATATCACGGGTATAGCCAAGTAGCCGAGCCTGATGCTTTTAAAGTGAGTGACCGACTAAAATTAAAGACAGCGCGTGAGAGGTAGGTGAGCTGTCTCGTTATTCGCGCTCCACCCTCATTTACTAAACGGTCATGTCATGGACCGTGGGAAAATCACGTGAAAGAAGCAGTTTTCTGAATAACTAGTGGTTCACCATAATGATAGATAGAATATATTTTTGTTATTGATGCCTATTGTCGTGACGGCTTTATACTTCAGGGTCCAGTTGGTCAAAAGTAATCTGGTACCCAGATCTCACTCTGTTTTTAACTGAAAAATCCCTTGGCCGTGGGAGATCTGGGTACGAGATTAGGTCAAAAGGTGGATAGCGCTATCCACTCGATAAATCTATAATTATTCAGTGGATAAGTATTAGGAAAACCAATTGCGTTATCCACCGGATAGAGATTATCCAGAGGATAACGCTATTCACCTTTTAAACAGCTGGGGCCAGCTGATCAATCTTACCTAAACATTTCCCACAGTGATTTCCGTTCATCACGTTGACACTGCCGGACACGATAAAGTACAGCTTGGTTACCACGTCTCCCTCTTTTATCAGATAATGTTGTCGAGGATACACCTCGATACGGAATACTGAGGCCAGCGCCCGCAAACAACCTTCACTTACACCATCAAAAATATCAAACCGATCGAATAGACTGTGATTCAAATAAAGCCTGATCTCGGATTGAAGAGATTCTGGAAAGCGGTACATGATCTGGAAGCAAATAGAGAACACTGAAAAAGAGCTCCATTATGGATCTTCAAGGTGGTTTCTTGCCTTTATGAGAAGCATCTACTATTGACAAAACCTTTTGGAAAGTTAGTGAAGTTTACTTGACAAACTAGCCTCTCTAACATTGATCAGTAGGCTAAGAGTGGCTCGATTAGAGTAGTCCCTTTTTTCGTTAGGACCAGCCCAAACCGAACGTCGTGTCTCCTTGCCGGAACGGGGAGGGGAGGGGAACAATATGAGCCCATTACCGAGTTGCCTTAAGTCTCTGTTTGAAAGCGAGGCCAGGTGCGAAGCAATTGATTTGAAAATGATTCTTTATTCCTATGCAAATAAAACTCGTTTTCATAAGAAAGGTTGTGCACTTAGCCTCGTCTTGAAAGTGAGAGTTTTTGGAACTCGAAAATGGATTATTCGCGAGCAAAAAACACTCGCCCATTCATTAATCTGAAATGAATGTGTAAGGTTCTTCCAAATACTATCACAACCCTAGTTTTCATCCTTGTCTTCGTTGACCAGCCCCACCGTCACTTCACTCTTTTTACCTCAATAGATGTTGAGATTGGTTTCTGTCTTACCGACTCAATGTCGTCCCCTCTTATCGCAGCCTGTTCGTTCGTGAAGTATTCTCGGAGATTCCCTTGCAAAGATTCCGGCATGTCGTGCATGGCAAGAAACTCGTTCACCACTCGGACGTCTCTGTGATATCTAGCAGTACGCGAGTATAATCGTTGTATGATTGCAGTAAGGTTACCAAAGATAACGGCATAAAACATTGCTAAAAGAAAAATAATAAAATATCAAATTCCATGAAGTAAAGAAGCACTGCGAGGAAACAAGAACCAAACGGCATAAACTCGATTACCAGCCGCTGTAAGGGGAAGAAGTCGCACTCGTTCCTCAACCGGACCCGAGGTGGACCTTACACACGCGTACGGCAGAGCTTAGCATAAAATACTCGTGTTTCAGTCCCTAGAAGAGCGATTACATTATCTTAGGGATATCCCTAGCAATATGTCTTTATTACGCATGGATACGCCTGAATGGATCAAAACGTAAAGTAAATTCATTATCAGCAAGATCTGCTGAAACGTGTTAGACAATGGTGGTTTTCTCCTTTGCTCCGAGAGGTTTTTCTCCGGATACTCCAATTTCCCCCTCTCGACAAAAACTAACAGGTCTAAATTTTAATTCTACCAGGAATGGTAAAAGAAGAAGCCCTTTATAGATGCGCTTACTCTGAATGGTACAAACAGACGGGCGAAGAAAATCTTGAGAATTACCTCTAAATCGTTATTTATTTGGTAGACACAATAAATTCTGCAAGACAGATCGTACTACGGGAAAATTAACTTTGCAAGACATCAACACGACACTGATAGAATCCAAAACAGAGCGGCGTTGTAGCAGTCGACAGCTGTTTTGCCATTTCTTTTTATTGTGACTCGTCAGGACGGCGCAACCACAGACAGAACAAAAAGGATCTGCTGAGAAAATACCCGCTCACACTGTTTTAACCCCTAACGTTGATCTCCAACACCCACCGAATCACGCCTTATTATTTAGTTAGTTAGATAGCTAGTTTCTATTACCTCCGATCAACATCATTAAAACAGAGAAAATTTTCTCTGTGTCAGTATTGGGAGCTACGTTGCCGAAGCCGATACTCGTCAAGCTGGTTATCGTGAAGTACAGAGATGTCACGTAACGGGTTCTGGTATCTGGTCCGCTGCCCGTCACGGATTGATTGACAGGTTTCCCAACCGTGTTGCCAAGTGATTGAATCCATCCATACGAGACATTTTTCTCTTTCTCACCAATAAGATGCCAGAGGCAAGCTAGCCAATGAGCGAAGAGCGTGAAAAGTGACGTCAGAAGGAAAATGACGGCAAGTCCGAATTCTGAATATCGATCCATCTTGCGTGAGACTCTGATAAGACGCAGAAGGCGAGCTGTTTTGAAAAGTCCAGCTAAAGAGGCTGCCTGTAACGATAGTCGGTATCATTAAAAACCAGTGGTGGCGTGCTCTAATAAAGGCAATTGAAGACACATTGAATTCTGCAAAGCTGATCGTACTACGTGAAAATTAACTTTGCAAGACATCAACACCACACCGAAGGAACCAAAAACAGAGCGGAAACGTAGCCGTAGACAGCTGTTTCGCCATTTTTGGGGCTCGTCACTACGGCGCAACGATTAGAGAGGCTCTCCTGTAAAATACGGTGTCGTGTTGATGTCTTGCTCAAGCTAATTTTCACGTAGTACGATCAGTTTTGCAGAATTCAATGTGTCTACCCAGTGTATATTTTTGCTGGTCAGGTCTCTTATAGATCCTAAGTTCTGCGGTATATTCGTTTGCGGTCCTTTACAGTTAAAATGTCAATTTATTGCAATAGAAGACGCTGCCTTTATTTTGAGTCAGCTTTAACTATGAAAATATTCTAACCAATTAGACAGTAAGTCTATGAAAATAAAGGAAATACAGTCAAGGTCTCGGAGGAGCAGAAGACGATGGAATTCTGACAAAAATGATGACGATAGTTTGACAACGATGATGATGATGATTGCGATAATGGTGATGATTATGATGTTAATGATCATGATGATGATGATGATAATGATGGTGATGATGATTATGGTGATGGTGGTGGTGATGATGATGATGATGATGATGATGATGATGATGGTGATGGTGGTGGTAGTGATGATGATGATGATAATGATGATGATGATGATGGTGATGGTGGTGGTAGTGATGATGATGATGATGATGATGGTGATGGTGGTGGTAGTGATGATGATGATGATGATGATGATGATGATGGTGGTGGTGGTAGTGATGATGATGATGATGATAATGATGGTGATGATGATTATGGTGGTGGTGGTGGTGGTGATGTCAAGTATGTTCATTGTAATGTTGATGATACTGTTGGTGAGGGCCCAGTTGTTCGAAGGCCGATTAGCGCTTAACCCAGGGTTAAATTTAACCCCGGTTTCTTTTTCTTTTCCTCAAAAACATTTTCTCGGATAATTTTCTCTGTTATTTTTAAGAGCATTTAATCATCAACTTGCTGACAAAAAGAATTAAACTGAATTTACGTTTTAACTTTTCAAATCTGAATTCAAATTTCGCACTAACCCTGGGTTATCTTAACCCAGCTTTGAACAAGCCGGCCCAGAGGGTCAGTTTGGTTTTAGTTGTATAAAAAGCAGTTCTAAACTACATTCAAAATGCATAAGTTTCTGCCTAATCTCCTACCCCTGAAGGAATGAAGAAATCAAAAGGTATGGCAGCCACAAAATCCACAAAAAACCAAGTCTTGAGATAATGGATGGCAATCTTTTTCGGTTCACTGATGATCAACTGAGTTTTCTGTTCCACATATGTAGTCCTAAAATTAATCACTATGTCCACAATGAACATAACATCAACAATAATGTTGATAATCTCATGAGGTTCGCCGGAGTTGATCTTTTGCCAAACATCAGTCTGCCTCGCTGTCGTGAGAAAAGACATCGTAAAAGGAATTTCAATGGCTGTGTATAACACCAAAGCGAGGACAAACCAGTCCCAGGTCACTTTAAACACGGATTCGTTATTGATAATGCAGCTGCCTAGCTTCTTTGGTATCTGTTTTATCCGAGGTCTTCTTCTCTTTCGTCTTATACTGCTTTCCGGCTGCATATCAAAAGAGACAGATCCAGAAGACATGATCTGAAAACTACGAAAAGAGCCTGGATCAGCCCAAGAAAAAAGCTGGCTTTTCGCGACGCGACTTCTGATTTCCCAGCGAAAAGATTTCTGAGAAACGAGCGCAGAAAGTCTATTCTGATTACGCGTCAGTAACAAGGTCTGAATAGAAGGGTAGTGCTTCTGATTACTTAAAGCAAAGTTTCAACCAGTCAGAAGCACTACCCAGGGCCGAGTTGTTCAAAGCTGGGTTAAGATAACCCAGGGTTAGTGCGAGATTCGCATTCAGATTTGAAAGCTTAAAAAGGATTTCAGTTTTAATTCTTTTTGTCTACAAGTTGATGGCTGGAAGCTCTAAAAATAACAGAGAAAATTATCTGAGAAAATGCTTTTGAACACAAGAAAAAGAAACTCGGGTTAAATTTAACCCTGGGTTAAGCGCGAATCGGCCTTCGAACAACCGGGCCCAGATCTTGGTAATGAAACGTTATGGAATTTCTGAGCCCGATGCTCAGACGTCATTTCGTGGAGAAACCAGCGGTTTGGATGACTTTCAACACGATCGTTTTTCGGCAGATACTTTTGCTGCTTATGTTGTTTTTCTTCAGACATTTTGGGGCCGTGTAGGTCTTTCAAGATCCGATACGCTTAACTGTTTAGCCTGGTTTTCATGCTTATTACTTGACTTCTTGAGGCATCAAAGTGACACCTGAACTCTTACCTTTAATGACAGCGGATGGGACGTGATTGATACACTGTAGTAAACGTTATCAGCGTACAATGTGAATTTTTTTATTGCTATCACCTCATCTTTAAAGGCCTATTGCAAAACAATTTCAATTCATTTTCCTCCAATAGCAGCAGAAATGTTGGTTTTCGCTCATTAGTGTACTATATTTCATTCTTTCTTTATTCTAAAAAATCTTTTAAGTCCATTCTTATTCCTTTGTTTTTTCAATGCAATTTCACTTTTATTAATAGACCATTTTACAGTTACTGGTGGAAACGAGGCTGGAGTTAACCTTGTTTTGATACGACCCCTCCTGCTTTATTATGTAAATGATGCTGTTCTTATGCTAACTAGTATTTTTTGAGCATAGTTTTCATAAAAGAAGGAGAGATGTTTATATCAAAACAAAGTCTACTTTAGCCTCACGTTCACTCAAAGCCTGAAATACAAAGCCCACCACTGTAAAATGGTCCAGCTATTCAGAATATGGACAGAATTAAGATGTCGACCCTGCCTACAAATATTCGGTTTTCTCCTCAGTAAATATCCTCTGTGAAAAAACGTATCGGCCAATGAGTACACTTGCTTCCAGTCTCTTAGGCAAGCCCTAGCGTGCTTACAAATTAAAAGCCAGGTTAAGCATCACGTTTACTTCAAAAGGCAAACGCGAATTTGACAAAACGCCCACAAAACCCTCAACGAAACCCTCAATCTACCAACACAGAATGGTCATCCTTAAGATCCCTTACATTTCTGAACGACTCAATCACAGGATCACTAACATTTTTAGAAAAAAAAAAACATCTCAGTACGCGTTACCCACAAATCCTACACGCTCAGACAAGCCCTACATCCCACACCTCCACTGAGCGCAAATGCACTAGAGACAAATGCTCTATCGCTAACACCGGATTGCGTTTACGAAGAAATGCAGTGTACCAGCTCACACTAATCTACACCTCTATAAAGCATTTTACATTAGAAAGTGCAAGCCTACACTCAATTCCCGAGAAGAACGTGCTGAATTCGCAGACCTGCTATTTTAGTATTTTATTTTAGAGACCATTCTTAAGCGCTTTTAGAGGTCTTTTGTCTAGAGACACTCCATCATCAGAGCTTTGTATTCCATTCACAGTTTATTTCTATAGCTTTCTTACATACGTCACATTCTTTACACATTTCACCCAACACTTTCTTTGCATATACACCTAATTGCAATAAGGTTGTCATAGAAAAAAAGCAAAAAGCGAAAAGCAAAAAGCAAAAAGTTAAATAGGAATTAATTAGCATGTAATTATCACGACACACACGCTTACAGCTGAATATTAACCACGTAATATGAGAGAAATCATTTGCATCAGTTTCTTGGTGTCATTCTCGTGCAATTCAAGGCTGATTCATCTAGCGAATTTTAAACGTGCTCGAATTACAAAGCACATCGGATAACTACCAAAGAAATAATGGCTCCATTTTTTTTCAATAAATATAGCCTGGGGTAAATTCCAGGAACTCAACGCGTGTTTTAGATTAACGCTAAATAGAAAAGCCAGTCTGCGTATGGTTTGCAGAGCACAACACCATCTGATCACAATTTTCGAGCAACAAATCAGGGGCGTAGGCAGGACTTTTCATCGCAGAGAGGGTAGGGGGCCCTCCGCCAGTTCCTCACCTGAGCCATAAACCAAGCTTCGTTTGTCAGGACATTATAGTTTGGCGACTGAACGTGCGACAACTGAGACATAACATTGCTCGCGTCAATTTACCTTTTTCTTTCTTTAATTGTGCGACTTCTTTTGATGGAGAATGTTGGCTCTAAAATGACTATGGCGCCTGTCTATCTTACAGCGCGGAATTACAGAATTATCTCTTGTTATTGTGAATGAATTCTTAAATAATTGTTGAATACTGAATTAAAATACGCAAATGTAAATTACATGGCTAATTTATTCCTATTTGGCTTTTTTGCCTTTTGTTTTTTTTTTCTATGACAACGTTATTGCAATTAGGTGTACATAGCGCGCGGAAAATTTTCTCATCCCTAATGATGCCGTTGATCGGCGAAAGCTTGGATTTTAGTTTTTACTTTTTAAACAGCAGTTTAAGGCCTCACTAAACCAGTTTTATATATTTTTAATTATGCTGCTGAAGGACAACATCAACAGACCGCAGTGGGAGTGTTTTTGAAAAATCCAGTGACGAAGTAGATGTCGGAGATGTCGTGCGATGAATATTTTTTGTTGTTGTTGTTGTATATTTTTTTTCGTTTTGGTTTTGTGTTTGTTTCTAATCATAATTTTCCTATTGGCTTGTTTCCCTCTATTCTTACAGCTGGCCCATTACAGCTTCGAGGGGTTTTTGTGATAAACGTGTTTCGAATTGGTTCATTTTTCCCCTGTGCATGCATTGCCTATCGAGATATGAAGCACTTAGAAAGTTCAGAGAGGAAAGCCCTTCAATAAAGTCGCAAAACGATCGCCCCTCTCCCGAAATTCCACACGAGAACCACGCGAGTTTGTGACGTTAAGGCATTTGGCTATTTCGATGGAACCGCGTGGACCCCACGCTTGCGATCTCCCTGACCCCGACTATGGTTCCTGTTGGGGACTTCATGATTGCAATGATAGCATGTTTTTTTTTTCCAAAATTTGAAATTCATTACTAAAGCCTAAAACTAAACGAAAAATTAAACAACATCTAGTTCACTGACATAGTGTCATGCTGCTAATAAGAATAAAGGCTTTCAATTTCCGTGGCATAATTATCGAAGATATGAATATGATGATAAAGAAGATGGAGAAGATGTAAGGCTTCTTTTTCACCAGGTGCATTTGATGAAAGCTAATTCTTATATTACTTATATTAACATTAAAACCTGTCGTTAAGAACCTTCTTAATACAGCCAAGAAGACAAGAAACAGATTATTGTTGTTGTTTTCTTTTTGAATTGCTCCACAGAGTACTGAAGTAGATTTTTTTGTCTTTGAAACTATTTATTAAAATGCAATACATTAAAATATTTTAGAGATGCTGATTAATAGTTAGTGGTTTATAGTTTGAATGAAAAAAACGAAAGTCTGTTGACTGAGCATGCCAGCTGAAGATGAATCAAACATTAGATCTTAAATTATCTTTATATAATATCTGAAAATCTTCAGCTGCTTTAAGGCGTCAGTCACTAAACTGACTTACCACGCACTATATGTCCAAACACAATTTCAAATCAGCTCAAAATTAAGAATGTTGCATCTATTCATCAAACGAGAGAACCATTTTGCATTATCTCGGCCGAATGTTCGTGAAAAAAAACTGGTTCATTTTAGTTTTTAACCATTGCATCTCGATGGATCGGTGGGTTGCAGTTTTCCGAGTCCTGTTTACGGCCCTTGTTAACAAAAACTTTAAAATTTCTTTCCAAAAAAAGACTTGAATGAAAGCATCCGGACAAAAGAACTTAGCTATAGGAAGGATAAAAGCTTTTAACGTCAACCCAGTGAAGAAGTGAATGCATATTATTTCAACGCATAGTTGTACTAAAAATGATGGTCGTGCTTTAGTTTGTGGTGTCACTGAATCCTTTTTGTAAGGTTCGGAAACCCACATATTTTGAGAAAGCAGCTAAAGAAGTATTTGTTTTTAACTTACCAGCTTAGATTACATCCGCATCACCCTAAAGATATTTCTAATGTTGTCAGTGGTTTTTCTTTGCGTGGAAGTATAAATACATACAGTGTCCATCTGTTTTTATTATCTTCCAATCATGTTTCTTTATAAGTTACTTAATTTAGAGCAACGAATGGTTGAAGAACTTTTTGAACGCTAGTCAAAAAAATGAATTATCCCCTTGTTTTAGAGTTTATTAATAATTCTAAAGGCAACCTGTTTGTATTCATAGAACAAAATTGTTGCAATAAAAAAACGTCCAGATCGAAGACCGTAACAAACATGACGACAAGTAACAAACCGCAACCAAAACATTAACTTGTGTTTATATGTAAATGAACATTATCAAAGTATGACCGAGGCAAGTATTGGCTGTAAGAAGCCGGTGAAACAGTCAATTTTATGCGCACTGAGTTTGACGTACGGTTTATTAATTTGAATAAAATGAAATACACTTCGCAGGAAACTTGTATGTCTCAATCTTTTCACATAAACGCGCTCACTGTCCTATCCTGTCATTATATTCAGTAACTCAACAGCGTAAGTAAGTATTATTTTATTCTTCACACTTTGATTAATAAGAGTGTTGAGAATGAGACCGATATTGGCTGTTTGTTGTTGGCGTTGCATTCTTTTCGGCTAGTGGTTTAGCAGACCCAGCGAAATAAATGTAGTATAGCAAGGGGAAGTGGTAGATTCGCTGTCAGTGGCTCCTGAGAACGCACTTCAGCCTATAGTTGTGTGTGTGTGTGTTTTTTTTGCTTAAAAGTAGGGGGAGCGGGACGATCCACCGTGTTCTTTAATACCTTTTTTGTTACTATTTTTATTGCCAATCTCAGCGGGAGCTGAGCCTCTGCGGCCACGTTTTCCAGTTCCCCAAGTTTGTTGGGAAGGAACGCGTGAAGAAGCCTATGAAATGGGTAGCCTGCATGAGGCGCTTTGATGAGCAACTCGAACGCGGCTTTTTACGTGAAGCTTGGCTCATCTGAATGCCTATTATGCACGAGGCTACAGTAAAGAACCAACCTATTTAGCGTAATCGCATAATTAAGTAAAATCTGGCATTCTGATTGGTTAACGAAGCGAAGTATTTAGTGTGGAATTGCGTGTTGAAAACGAGGCTAAGCAATCCTGTGAACACGGCCCAGAAAATGGCAAGCCAAAGTTCAACCAAACAAAACGGAGAAGCGACAACGGAGGAAGTGCCGGGGTCGATTGTCACATATACAGAAGAAGAAATAAATACCTTCAAAGACGCGTGGCCCCTGAGAACACGAAAAAGAGTACTTAGAAAAGTACAAAACAGAGCTGAACTTGAACAGCATTTCTAAAACATTTCAAGGTACTTACCTTATATCAATCGCGACGTTAAACTTTCAGTGCTTTCGCTTGGACACTTCATTTCTTTCAGTTTTGCCGCCGAAGAGGTAAAAGGTGCAAATTATTTTCCCTCTCGAGCAAATGACCAATTTGAAAAAAGATGTTCTAGATAAACGGCTTGTAAATTCAGTGAAATACCTCTATTTATCCTTACGATTAGTGTGAAGCTTGTTTACATGTAAAAAAGTTTGAAAA